CCGTGCTCCCTTCCCTCGCGCTCGGCGGTTTCGTTCCTGTCCCTGCTTTCCTCGGCCGGGGCCCGTTCTCTTTCCTCCGGGTCGTCGCGCTTCCTCCGTTCCGGGCCTCTTCCTTCCTTCCGTTTTTGTGCCCCTTTCCCGGGCCCGCGCGCGCCTCCTCTCCCTTCCCTGCCCGCGCGCCGCCGTCCGCCTCGCCCGCCGCGTCCGCGGCGCCGGAGCGTCCCGTCCCCCCCCCTGCGGCGGTCCGGCGGCATCCGGGGCCCTTTTCTCGGCCCTGGCGCCCCGCGGGCGGGGCGTGGCCCCCGCCCTCCGGGGGGGCGGGCGTGCTGCCCCTTTGCGGGCGGCCTGCCCTGCCCTCAGCTGTCGCCCGGGCGGGGCGTGCTGCCTCTTTGCCGCGACGGGCCTGCACCGCCCTCCTGCGCGGGCTTTGGCGGCTGGCCCCCCCTTGCGGGTGGGCTGGCCCGCCCGAGGCGGGGGGAGGGGGCGGGCCCTGCCTGGGCCCCTGCGAGGCGGGGCGTCCCCCCCCTGCGGGCGGGCGCCCCCTCGCCCCTATGTGCTTCCTTTCTTCGTTCCCGCGCGCTTTTTCGGCGTTTCGGCCCTCCCCCCTCTTCCGGGCTCGCTTCCGCGCTCCCTCCTCCGTTCCGCCCTTTCACCGGTCCCCTTTTGGGCCCTCGTTTCTTGGGTGCCCTTTCGCCCTGCCCTCCGGTCCGGTGCCCGGCCTGTCTTGCCGTTCGGCGCCCCTTGGGCTCTTGTCGCCTCCCCTTGGGTCTATCCCCGCTGCCCGCCGCCGGCTGTCCTGTTGTGGCGGGCGGCTCGCCGGGCTCCCGCCGCTGCCGCGGTTCCCGTCCCCGCGGTCCAGGGCCGGGCTGGGGCGCGCTCGCGCTCTCCGGCCCCGGCCGATGCCGCTCTTTCTCGTTTTTTTTTCGTTTCCGGGCGGGCTTCTTCTCCGGCTGCCTGTTCTTGCCGTCCGGGCCCTGGCTCTTTGCCGCCTCCCTTTGCGTCTCCCCCGCCCTGGTTGGTACAGCCTGCGCTGTTTCCACGCCTGCGGTCCGTCCTTTTGCCCTTGCCCTTTGGTTCTTTTCCGGCCTTTGGCCTTGTGGCGCCTTGGCTCGCGCTGGTCTCTTGCCCGTGGCGTTCGGCCGTGTTGTGCGTCCCCGGCCGGGCGTTGGCGTGGCGGCCCCTGTTCTGCTGCCGTTGGCCCCGTGGTCGTGGCGGCCCCTGTTCCTGCCGTGGGCCGTGTGGCGTGCCCGCCTCTGGTTCTCTCGTTGCGGACCGTGTGGCGTGCCGCCCTGTTCGCGGCGCGCCCCTGCACTCCCTCGCCTTTCTGGCCCCTGTGCCTTCGCGGCCTTTCCTCTTGTTTCCTGCTTTCTTTGTTGCTGCTGTGCGCCTCTGCTGCTACTCTCCCCTGCCCCCTCTTTTTGCCCCTGCACAACAGACTGTCCGCCCTCCCCCCCGGCGCTTTTGCCTGCCGTTCGTTCATGCGATCACCATATACGCGCCGTTGCGTCCTGCCCCTGTGTTCTGTGGGGCCGTTTCCCTGCCGCGCCTGTTCGTATCCCGGGCTGCCTGCTTTAGCCCGTTTGCGTGGCCGCCGCTTTTGTTGCGTCCTGCGTGGCCCGCCCGCTGTTCCTGCCGGCGGCGTCCCCTTGGGGCCCCCGCTTGCGTGCCGCCGCTGTCGTCCGGCGGCCCCCCTTTGGTCCGAACTTGCGTGCCCGTCGCCTTCGGCCGCCTGCGTGCCGCGCTCTGGTTGCGTGCCGCCGCTGTGTTTTCTGGCCCCGCGCCTTGGCTCCTTGCTTTCTTTTTCCTGGCCCCTGCCCCTCGCCGCCTTTGGTTCGCTTCCCTTCTCCTCTGCAACCCTTGCCCTTTTTCTTCCCCCCGGTTGCTCTGGGCCCCGGCACGATGCTGGCCACGCTCTTACCCCGCCGCGTCTGCCTTTCGGGCTTTTCGCTAAGGGCCCTCCCCTGCGCTCCGCCCGGGTCGTATGCTGCTGGTATCGGTGCGCCTCCGCCATGCTTGTCCTCGCCCGCCCCCTCTCTCGGCCATCAGCATTTCCCCGCCCTGCGCTGTGCGCTGCTGGCGCGCTGGCCCTCGCCTTGCCCCCCTCGCCTTCCCTTTTTTCGGCTTCGGGGCGCTGCCTCTCCCGCCCCTCGCCTCCCGCCCTCCCTGTTTTGCTCGGTTTCTGGTCGCCCCTGCTCCTCTTCCGCCGCCTCGGTCCCACCGCCTGCTCCTACCTGGCGCTTCGCTGGTTCCCCCTCCTGACTCTGCGTTGCGACCCCATACCGCCTCGCTCCCCAGCGCCGGGGATGGTGTCTCCTCTGCGCTGGTGTCAAGCCGTTTTCTGGGGCTAGCGCTGCTTTGGCCGCGTTAGGCCCGCCTGGCCGCGGCGCCTCCCAGTTTCGCTGGCTCCGACCTGCTGGCCATCTCCCGCCCTCCCCTCGCGCGGAGCGGGCTCCGGCCCTGCCCGGTCCTTCCTTTTTCTCTCTCACCTCTCTTCCCCGCTGCTACTGCCCCTCCCCCTCCGGGGGCGCCGCCCGGTGAGTGCTCGTTTGCCTGCGGGGCTTTGCGACCGGAGTGAGGCTCATTCTCGCTGGGGCTACTCTTGCCTTGGCTCCCCTCTCCGCCTTGTCTGGCCCCTCATGGCCACGCCGGTCGCAGGTGCGTCTCCTCTGGCCGTTCCTTCCGCCAGGCACCGTTCGCGGACTCCGCCTCATTCTTACCCTGTTGCTGCCAGTATTCCTCTTCTTTTCTCCTCTTCTCGTTTTTTCCTTGCTCCACTGTCTCCTCGCCCTTGTTGTGCTCCTCCCTGCCGGTTGTGCGGCCTCTGCGTCCCGCGGCTTTCCCCCTGGTTGGCGGGCGGTGCTGACTTCCGCTGCTTGCGCGAGCGGCTTCCCTGCGCTCTTGGCGCCCATGCCCTTCTCCCTTCTCATGTCGATTTTCCGCGGCTCCACCTCTCTCGCGTGTTCCCCTGCCCGCCTCCGGCTTTCTTCTGCTGTCAACGTCCGGATCGGCCCCTCTGCCCCCGCCCGTTCCCTTGTTCTTTTTCTCTGTGTCTTCCCTGCTTCTTCTGTTTTGGCCGCTGTACTTCTCGCCTCCCTGGGCGTGGTGGCTGCCCGTGGGCTGCTTCTCCGGACTCGTGCCGCTGGCGGCGGCCTCCCCCTCGTCGCCGCTTCCTGCGCTGCGACGCCTCCTGGCATTGCCCGTCTTTCCTGGGGCGCGGGTTTCCCGCGCTTCCCCGGTGGCCCCGGCCCCGCGGCGGGCTGCTGCTGCTGCCCTCCCCCCACCCTGTGCTGCTGGCGGGTCTGCCTGCGGCGGCCCCTCTCCCGTCCGGCGCTCTCTTGGCCTTCCTCCTGCTGCTCCCTCTGTCGCCCTGGTGGCTTCTGCCCCCTCCTCTTCTCCCGTCTGCTGCCTGTTGCCGCCTGTCGCGGCGCGCCTGCTTTTCATGCCCCATGTTCTGTCCATCCCGCCTGCGGCCCGGCTGCGGCCTGCGGCCTCCGGGTCCCCTCCCGACTCTTTCCCCGGCCTTTGCTTCCCCGCGGTCCCGCCGTCTGGCCATGCGCTCGGGTTGCCGGTCCCCCGCCGTCTCCGTTGCCCTGCCGGGCTCCGTCCTGTGCGTCCCGCCCCTCTCCCCCCGGTGCCTCCTTGGCCCCGGCCCGTGTCACCGGTCCTGCCCTGTTTGATCTGGCTCGCGCGGCCCCCTGTCTGCCCCCTCAGCTTGGCCTCCGCCGCTCGCAGGGGGTCCGTCCCGCGCCTCGCTCCCGGGTCATTGCGTGCCGACCCTCTGTTCTTGTGTGCCCTCGCCTCTTCTCTCTCCCTCCCTTTTTGTGTTTTCCCCGGCCTTTTTCCCTCGCCCTTTGGCCTTTTCAGCCCTTCGCGCCTTTTCGTGGCGGCTTACGGGTTTCCTCCCCGCCCTCCCGTGGGTTCCTCCTCCCGCGGCTTCCGCCCTTCGCGTCTCCCCGCTTCCCACCCCCCCGTCCTCCCGCGCGCCGCGCGCCCAGCCCGCCGCGCGTTTGTCCTTCTTCCACACCTTGGCCCCGCCCCGCTTCTGGCCTCCCTGCCTCTCTTCCTCCCTCCCTCTCCCCCTGTGCCCTACCTCGCACTCTGCGGGTTTCCGGATCCCTCTTTCCCCCTCCCTCTTTCTTTTTCGTTGCTCTTTCTTCCTCTCTTGTTTTTTCCTTCGCCCTTTGGTTTCGTTTGGTTTTGCTTCCCTCCCCTTATCTGCCCGTTCTTGCCCTTTCTGCGTCCTACTTCCACACCCTAGTTGCTCCCCGCCCCCCAGTCCCCCGGGTCGTTTTGCCCGTCGTTCTGCCCCGCGCCCCTGCGGCCCCGTCGTCCTCCCCTCGCGTGCCGCCCTCTGGGTTCCTGTGCGCCCCCGGCGCTTGCTTATTGCCCTGGCCCTCCACTGCGTGCCGGCCCTGTTCGCGGTGATGTGTCGGCTCTTCTTTCCCTTTTCTGTGTGTTTCTCGTTCCTCCTTCTGTTTTTTTTCCTCCAGTCACTTCCTGCGTCTCGGCCTTCTCCTCCCGTCCGCCCCCTGCGTACCCCGCGCTCGGCGTTCTGTTCCCGCCGCTGTTCTTCCTACCCCGCTGCGTGCCGCCCCTCTTCTCGGTTCCCGCCGCGTTTCCTTTTTTCTCTCCTTTTCCTGCCCTTCCTCCCCGTTTTTCCTTTTTTTCCCTCCGGCCCTCCCCCGCTCCTGGGGCCGCTTCTGTTTTTCCTCCCTCCCTTCGCGTTCCTTCTTCTTCTCTCTGCTTTGCCGCTTTTTCCGCGTTTCTGTGCCTTTCTCTTCCGTCTCTTGTCTTTCCCCCTCTGGTTTGTTGGGCCCGCCTTCTCTCCTCGCGGTCCGCGGCGGGTCTTTTTCTTCTTTTTGCTCTGGGTCGCTGCTTGCATGTGCTTCCTGCCTGCGTCCTGCCTGCCCTGCCTGGCTGTTCTTTGGGCTGCGGTCGTTTCGTTCCTTTTCCTTCGGCGCTCGTTCGCTTCTCCTCGCGTTGGGTTTTCCTTTCCTTGGCTTTTTCTCCCTCTCCCCTCCCTTCGCGCCTTGTCGTTCCCCCGCGGGCCGTTTCTCCGGGCGCTGTACGTGCAAGGCAGCCGCGTACACCGAAGGCGCGCTGTGTCCCCTCCGCCCTCGCCCCTTTTTACCACCCCGTCCCCGTCTTTCTCGTCTCCCCTACGATCCTTTACCTCCATTTTCGACCGGGCCCGGCGTCCCCCCTTCCCCTTCCCCCCCGCCTTGGTTTCGCTTGCCCGTCTTTTCCCTCGTTTTGGCCTGCCTCCGCCTTCGGTTTTCCCCTGGCGTCCTTTTTCTCCGCCTTCGCCCCGGTCCGCTTGGCCCGCCCCTGGTGGCGCCTCCCCCTGTTTTCTCCCCGCCCGCGGCTTTCTCGGCCTCGTGCCCCCTCCCCGGTATTTGTCCCCCTTTTTTTTCCCTCCGCGCCCTCCTTTTCCCTTTCCGCCCCTGCCTGTTTTTCCGGGTCCCTCGGGTCTTTGGCTCTTTGGGGCGCCCCCAGCTTGGCGGCCTCGCTGGGGCCCTTGCCTCCCCTCCTCCACGGTTGTTTTTCCTCCTCCGTGGTTTGCCCTTTCGGCCTTCCCTCTCCCTCTTCCCGTTTCCTCCCTCCCCTTGCCTCGCCCCCGCCGCTGGCCCATTCTTCCTCGTCCGGCGTGACTCGGTTTTCTTTTGCTTCCTTTTCTTTCTCGGCTTTTTTGGCCTTCCTCCCCTCCTTTCTTCCTCTTCTCCTCCCTTTTCTCCCCCTCTTCCTACCCTTCGGTCGCTGGTCGGTTCCCTTTGCCGCTGGCTCTCGCCTCCCTCCCCCTTTTCTGGTCCTCCCTCCGCGCCTTCCCCTTCCTACCCCCCGCCGCCTCGTCCTCCCGGTGCCTCCCCCGGCGTCGGCCCCCCCCGCCCTGCCTCCGGTTTGCGGCCTCCCGCTTTTTTGGTCCGCCTCCTCCCTCCGCCCTCTGCCTCTCGTCGCCCCTTCGTCCTTCCCCTCCGGTCTCTCCCGTTCTGTTGCTGTTCTTTCTGGCCGTCCTCCTTTCTCCGCGGCTCTCGCTCCTCTCCTCCTCCTTGTTGTGTGCCTCCTCCGGCCCCTTCCGTGCCCCCTGCTGTTCTCGCCTTCTCTCTCCTCCAGCCTTCGTGTGTGGGCGCTCCTCCGGTTGGCCGGCCTCCTTTCCCCCTCCGCGTTCATCTGTCTGTTTCTCCCTGTGCCCTCTTGTGCCCCCCTCCCCCCCCTCTTGGCCTCTCCTGCCTCTGCCTCCCGTGGCCGCCCTGCCCCGTGCCTGGTGGCGTTCGCCCCGCAAGCTTTGTTTTCCATATCTTTTCGGGTCCTCGGCCCCCCCTCCGTTCGCTACCACCTTTCCTTCCCCCCCTCCTTCCTCGCTTCCTTCTCCCCCCTGTCTCGCGGCCCTCGTGCTTGCGCACCCGCCGGTGGCTCCCGCCCCCCTGTCCTTTGTTGCTGCCCTCCCCCCCGCCTGCTGATTTGCCCGGCGCTTGCTGTCCTTGGCCCCCTGCCCTGTTCCGTGCTTTTGCCTTGGCCGCTCGGGGTTCCCTGCCCCCGTGCCCCCCTCCTTCCGTTTGCCTGGCCCGCTCCCCGTTCGCCGTCGTTGCCTCGGCTTTTTTTTCCCGCCTTGCCTGGGTCCGCTTCCCTGCCTGCTGTGTGTCTGCTTCGTGGCCTTTTGGTTTAGGTCTTTTGCCCACCGCCGTGCTTGCTTGCTAGCGCGTTTTGGTTGCCCCCCTGTGCTTTCCAGGGCTTCCTCGCCCCCGCGTTGCTCTTTTTCTGCTGCCCTTTGTTGCCCGTACCGCGTTGCTGTGCTTTCGGTCCCTTTCTGTGCCCCCGGGCGTTACTTTGCCGGCTCTTTTCGCCTGCGTTGCTTTCGGCCCTTTTGTTTGCGCACCCCCGTGTTGCTTGGGCGACTTAGTGCGCCCGGCCCTGCTTTGAGCTTTCCGGCTGTATTCGACGCCCCCACGCTTGCTTCCTTCGCCGGCCTTTTGCCACACCGCTTCGCTTTTCACGCGCTCTTTGTTCGCTCCATGGGTTCGTCTTCTTTCTCGGCCCTTGTTTGCCCCTGCTCCTTTGCATTGCCCTCGTCGGGCCCTTTCCTTGCCCCCCCCCGTGGTTCCTTCCGGCTCTTGTCGCCACCCTTCTTGCTTCCTTGGCCTTCCGTCCGGCCTGTTCCCCCTCCCGGGCGCTTCTCCCCTCGTACTTCCATTGCCTCGCTTTACCTTTCGCCCATCTGTCCGGCCTTTCGGCCTTTCACCCGCGCTTCCTTCCTTCCCTGGGCCCTTTCCGCTTTCTCCTCTTTTCCTTGCGGCCGGTTTATTGCCCTCCTTGCTGCCGTGCACTGCCTTTCTGCCGCACGTTTCCTTCCGCACTTGGAGTCGCTGCGCCTCTGCCTCCCCTGCTGCACCTTCCACCGGGTACGCCGTTTTTCGTTCTTGCCCGTGCGTTCACTCGCGTGGGGGGCGCACGCTTCTTCGCTTCCCCTGCCACTTTCCGCTTACGCCTCTCGTTTGGGGCCTCTTCTTTCCCTTTACCTTAGGCCTTCCGTGCCCCACCTCGTACCCCTCGCCGCGTCCATCCCGCCTCACACACCTACCCTGGCCGCCCCGCCCGTCACCCGCCACCGCCAGGCGGCGTTCGGGGCGCCCGCGACGCGTCGTCCCCCCGCCTGTCGTCCCCTCCCCTAGCCGCCCCGGGTGCTGTCTTTTCTCGGCGCCCTCCCCCGGCTGGAGGCCGGCCCTGCCCGCCGCCGTGTGCCGGTGGCCTATGCTCGTTGTTTCGTTCCCACGGGCACTTTTCGGGCGTTCCCTCCTCCCCCTCTTCAGGGCAGTCGCACCCGTTCTGCGCTCCTCAGCCTTTTTTTGGCCCGTTTCCCGTCCCCCTCTTGGCCTTCACTTTCGAGGAATGACATATATAACGCACCGTCCACATACAAAGAACGGTCCGGCCGGCCTCTTTGCCGTCCGGGCCCCCCGGCTTTTTGCCGCCTCCCCTTTGAGGTCTTCCCCGTTGCCCCCCCGGCCCGCTGCCCCTGCTTTCTGGGCGTCGGTGGCTTTTTGCCCCCCACTTTTTGCCGGCCCCCTCCGGCACGGCCTCCCGCCGCCCCCGACCTTTTTTGGCTCTTTTCCTTCTTTTTTCCTGTTTCTTCCGCTTTTTTTCTGGGCCTTCGGGGCCCCTGTGCCTTTTTGGGCCTTTGGGCCCGATGTGCCACCTTTTTGGGCCCCTTTTGGGCGCCCTTTTGGCCCTTTTTGGGGCCTTATGGGGGCCCCGCTTGCCCTTTTTGGGGCTCTTATGGGGCCCCCTTTGGCCCTTTTTGGGCCTTTTTGGGGCCCCGCTGTGACCTTTTTGGGCCTATCATGGGCCCCTGTGCCCTTTTGGGCCCTTATGTGGCCCTGGGCCTTTTTGGGGCCTCCGCTGGGGCCCCCTTGGCCCTTGTTTGGCCTTCGGGGCCCCGCTGTGCCCTTTTGGCCTTTCGGGGCCCCCATGTGCCCCTTTTGGCGCCTTTTGTGGCCCCCTTGCCCTTTTTGGGCTTTTGGGGGCCCCTGGGCCCTTTTTATGCGCCTTTTGGCGGCCTCCGCTGTGCCCTTTTGGGCCTTTGGCGCCTTGCGCCCCTTCTTTGCCGCAGCCCCCCTTTCTTTTTGTGCCCACCCCTTTTTTTTTTCGGGCCCTCTTACTCTGTCCCACCACTTTTCCCCCACCCCACCTCGCTTGCGCACCCTGTCCGCCCCATCTTCCCGCGCCCCCCGCCCGCGACGCGTCCGGCCGGCGCCCCCCGCATCCCGGGCGGTTTGCCGCCCGCCTCGCCACGGGCGGTGCGTGCCCGCTCGCCCCGGCCGGCTTGCCCGCCTCCGCCCGCGGGTCTAGCCCGCCTCCGCCGGCGGGTCTGCCCCCCCTCGGGCGCGCCCTTTTCTCTCCCCCCCTGTTTTTCCCCACTCTCCCTCTCCTTCTTTCCTCGCCATTCCCTGCCGCACCCCCAGTTTTCCTCCGTTTCTTCTCTTTTTGTAAAACTCTTTTCCTTCTTCTTTTTTTTTTTTCCCCCCTGACCCTTTTTTCTCCCACCCCCGCCTGTCCCGCTGGCCTCCGCGTCTCTCCCACCACCTGCACCGGCGTCCCCTTCGGGCGGTCCGGTCCTTTTCTCACTTTCTCGTCCCCTTAGGGGCGTGGTCCATTGTGCACTGGGACTTTTCTCCTGGGACCTGCCCTCCGCCTTGTTTCGGCACCCCGGCGGCCCATAGTTTTTTTCGGGTTCGGGGCCTTGCTGGCGGCGCGTGCCCTCTTTTTGCGGCATTCTCTGCACTCTGTCTCGAGCGGTTGCGATCCCTCCTGTCCCGCCTTTTCGTCCCGCCCGCGGTCCCCCTTGGGTCTGTTTCGGCTCGTTTTTGCCCGCTGTTTCCGTTCCGGGGCCGGCGCGCCCTCGGGCCCTGCTTGTTGGTGCCCCGCCCGCCCCTTCTAGCTAGCCCCTGATTGGCTGCCTTCCCGCGGTTCCATCGCCGTCCCGCCCGGCCCGCCCGGCTGCGGCTGAGCCTGGCGGGGCCTTGGTTTTTCTGGCTTCTTCCTGGTTTCTTGTTCCCCCCGGCTCCCGGCTTTGGGGCTTTGGCGCCTGCACTGCCTCCCTGCTTCGGGGCGCTTTTTGGACGCGGCTCTGGGTTGCCTCGGTGGGCCTTGTGCTGGCCGCGCCTCTCGCGGGAGCCTTGCCCGCGGCTGCTTTCGGCTTCGCTGCCTGGGCCGGTCTATCTGACTTCTTCTCCACTGTACTTTCACCTTATTCCTCTTCCTTTTTTTTCTTCTTTCTTTTGGTTCGTTTCCCTTTGGTCATTGCAACGGCTCCCTTCCTCCGGTTTGGTTCCACGGCCCCCGCTCCCCGTGGTTGCTGCTCCTCTTTTCTTGCCTTTCCCCCTCCACTCTCCGTCTCGTCTGCGGCCGGATTCCTGCACTCCCATCCCTGCGCGTTCCTCACTGCACGCGCGCCACGCGACTTGGCGCGTTGGGTCCGGGCTTGAGGTCCTGTGGTCCATTTCCTTTGGGTCTGCCTCCCCCGCTTCCTCCCGGTTAGCTTCTGCCCCCCGCGTTTTTGCTGCTGCTCGGCCCCTTCCCCCTTGCCCGTGGTACCTGCGCTTCGGTCGCGCGTTTCACGCGGCCCTGCGGGCTTCGGATGCCCTCGTCACTGTTCTGCTTTGTGGCTGGCAACTTTCTCCGCTGCTTTCCGCCACCTCCCTCCGGGTGTTCCCGCGACGCGCCGTTCCTTTCGGCTTGTTAGCGCCCCTCCACCTGGTTCGTGACCTTTACCCTCCTCCTGCCGGTGTCCCGCCTTGTCCTGCGTCTCGGCTCCTGGTTCCTTTGCTGTTGTCTGGCTGGTTGCCCCCGGCCCCGGCGAACCGCACACTGTGCCGTGCCCTTGAACGGATTGGGCTCACGCTGACGCTGACTCCTGGCATGGTTTCGGGCCTGATGACGGACGCTTGTGTTGCTTCTCCCGGCCCCGGATTGCAGGTTTGGCGCGCGTTCCGGCACCGCTCGGGCTGACTCGGGACGGCTGTTTGCCCCCCGACGGCGCCGGGACCCGGCTCCGCTTCTTCTACGGCTTTTGGCCTTTTGTCCGTTTTCTTCATTTATGCCTTTTTTGCCTTTTTACTTCGGAGCCTTGCCTTTGGCTTTTGGGCTGTTCTGCTTTTGTTTTTTTTTTTTTTTTTTGGCCTTCGCCTTCCTTATTTAATTTCTTTTTCACTGGCACTCTTTTGCTTTCTGCTTGACTTCGTGGCTGTTTTGACCTTATATACTTTAATTAGGAATGTGAATATTGACTTCTTACAGCCTTTCCCAAGCATTTTCAACTTTTAATTTATTCAGAGCTCTAATTTCTTGCCTAAGCGCCCTTATCTGAGTTTTCAACTTAGCCGAGCTACCCCATTTTTGCTAAGCGCGCCCTTTTCGGGGTTTTCACAATACTTAGCGGACCCATTTTGTGAACCCTACCAACCGAAACATGCATAAAACGCACATAGACAAAAAGGGCAGCAAATGCACGTGAGTGTTGTGAGTCGCCAACCTTGGTTTAATTAGTTTTATGCAGGTAAACTAGAAAAACCCTAAGTTTGACCCTACGCGATTTTTTAATTAACACTAATTACTAATTAATTATCCCAATTGTCTAAGGCATGATTTGCTAACTGCCAAGTGGAATCCCGAGACCATGTCAATGTGATGAAACTAACCAAATGAAAGATGCATGCTTTGCAAAGTGAATGATGTAATTTGCACAAATGATATGATTTCGACTTGCCGCTCGGGGGTTAAATTCCCAAAATGCGGTTGCCTAACGTACTTCCGTTGGGAGATGGAATGATTAAAGTCAAGACGTAGTTCCGATAGGCCTTTTTTTTTAAAAGGCTTTGAAGGATGCTTAATGCATGATTGTGTGTATGCCTTTGTGGGCATTTTGGTTTAAGAGGGCATCTTTGCCAAAGAATTTGATTGAATTGATTAGGCATCTTGTTTGCCAAAGAGTGTTGATTTTAAGGCTTTTGCGCAAAAAAAAAAAGAATGAATTTTAGGCAAATTGTTGCCGAAAATTGATATGATTGGGGCGTTTGTACCAAATGAATTGATTTTAAGGTTTTAGCCAAAAGATTTGATTAATTTGAAGGCTTTTAGCCAAAAATGAAGTTTGATTAAGGCATGTAGTTTTGCCAAAAAAAATATTGATTGGGCGATTATCGCCAAAATATTGATTGATTTAAAGGCTTTTAGAGCCAGAAAAGATTGATTAATTTTTAAAGGCATTTTGCCCAAAACTTCGATTTAAAGCCGATTTTGTCGCTAAAAGAATAGTTAATCTAGATTTATAGGTGCAATTTGTTTTGCCAAAAATTGATCAACTGAATTGTAATTTAGGCAAATTTATTGCCAAGAAAATGTGTTTAATTAAGGCTATCTAGCCACAAATTAATTGGATTAACTTTGGACTTATAGCAGGATTTGTTCGAGAAATAAGGCGGTTAAACCCGTAGTTATTAATTAACTAGGGTTCTTTAAGCCAAATATTGTCGGATTTAAGCTTTATACCACAACATTATTTGATTAATTCGGGAGCATTTAAGGCTGAAAACTTATTAATTGAGGGCAAATTTTAATTTGCACTAATTGATGGACGTGAATGCATTATGCAGTTGTAGAATTTTTAGGAAGTAGAAGAGAGAAATATGCATGAAGTGCTAAAATTAAATAGAACAGAGTTTCGTTATTACCTGAGTCAGTCGTCGAGCCGACTTCATAACCTTCAGATTAAGCTCCTTCGTTAGGGAATATTAAATTAACACTTTAAATTTTAAAGTGACCAAAATAACAAAGCAATGAAAGCAATAAAGCTAGACTAAAATGCAGGAAAAGGGGCAGTAAAAAGGAAAAATCGCAAGGAGCGGTAGGGGAGAAGGAGCGTCCGTCAACACCAGGGGGGAACTAAATGTTGAGCTAAAAAAACTGAGGCTTCGGGGGCTAGTATTTATAGGGGTGCATAAATTGGACCTGTTCGGTATCGGCTGTGAATACTCACATTTTGAAGCTCAAAGAAGCCCAGTTTTTTTTTGACTGGCGCAAACAGTCCGGCCGGAACCAAAAGGTCATTTTGGAAAGTTCAAGCGCGAAAGTTGATGGGCCAATATGGTACTTGAAACGTTCGATAAAATCCGAACTGAAGAATCAGAACTGGCGCCCGAAGATAAATTAAGATTTTTTCGCAGGTCCGGAGCTCTCGGAAAAGCCCCCGGAAGCCGTTAAAGTTAAAGCAAAACCACCATACCGCACGGCGGCTCCGAACTGGCCTGGCCCCGGCGGCTCGGGCCGTCCAGACACAGCGGCCCCCGGCCCACCGACCCGCGGGCGGCCCCGCGCCGGCCATAGTTCGGCGTCTACGGCCGCGCGACCTCCTGTGTCGGCCGCCGGCCGCCGAAAACAGGTCCGTTTTGCCTATAAAATTTGGCCCCGAGGCCCTCCGTTTTACTCAATCCAGTCTGTGGTTGATGGACGCCTCCTTCTCCCTTACGCTCCTTGCGATTCTTTACTGGGCCTTTTCTGCATTTTTAGTTTAGATTTTATCGCTTTCTTGCCTGTTAATTGTCACTTAAGCAAATTGAATTACGATTAATATTTCCTTAACGAGGAGCTTAACCCTGAGTTAAGAAAGTGGGCCGTCGATTAATCAGGTAACATAAACTAAACTCTGCCTATATTTTAAATTTTAGCAACCCCCTCCCCGCCCCGTCCTTCATGCATGCTTCTCTCTACTCCTATTGACATCTACAACTGGCTACAACGCATATCATATCATCAATTAGGCAAAATAAACTGCCTCAATCAAATATGATTAAGCTTAAGATACCCCAGTTAAATTAAATATAGTAAGAGTATGTAAATGCTAAAATCCGACAATATTGCTAAAAGCCTAAGTTAGTCAATAACTAATGGTTGAAATTGCCTTTATTTCGAACAA